CCCCTGTGGCACCTGAATGTGGCCTATTTGGCCCTTGGGGTGAAAACCCCATCTCTTGCAGCCCAAACCAATGACCATTAAGAACAGTTATTTCTGGTTTTGTATTCAGTATGTATCGTTTTTTTAACTCCAACGCGTTTCTGTCTTTAATAAAAGTTTAGAAGGTGATGTATTTTTCTTAGGTACAAAATCTGGCCCCTGACAAGCGAAATCCGCTCGGTTTCAACACCTCCTCATAACCCTTACCTTGCCCGTGTTTGTGTCAGTGTCTGACAGCCTCAGTCAGGCACTTCTGTCAACATGGTAACATGTCTGCCTCCTCCAGACCCACAGAAAGGCCTCATATTTGGACTCTGGAGGACTCCGACTAGTCCATCTGATAGATGTGGCCGCTCCCTACTCACCAGCCACCTCCAACTGGGCTACATCAGCAGTACTGGGAGACCTGAGCGTACTGTGATCCCACCATGGGGTGTATGGCTGTGGCTCCGGCTGCACTACACTCTAATCCCCTTCCCTTTTAACCACAATGGGAAACATGTGCTTACTCTGTGTAGGGTACGGGCCCACCATGGGAGGAGCTGTTTACTTTCACTCTAAAACTAACATTTCACAGCTCCTGTGACCACTTCTGGTTACTGCCGCTGCTGGGTTAAAAAGGTGCTGGTGGATCATTTGGTGACATTATCGTTTGTTTCGTAACCACCGGGGCTCCTGAATTGAAGTGTCTTCTCACTTCTCACCCTGTAAAATTTGACGTACACATTTTTTTTTACACAGCATGTTCACCAAGGTAGTCGGGTTGTGCTGTCAAGAGCTGCTTGATGTTACTTTATTGTGCTCTTCAACATTCAGTCCACCAATGAGTTTTTGGTCAGTGTGTGTCACTAATGATTGCCCCCCTCTTCCTCTTCAGCAAAACTGGAAATGGTGCTTGTCAAAACTGTACCCTAAACCAACACAATCAACCGCGTAGATGCCAGATGTAGGAATTTCACCTTTTGACATTTTCAACACCCCCGAACAGAAGTGCTTCTAACTTCCAAAGTGGAAGTTATAAAGTTGTAAAGTGGAAGTGTTGTTTCAAATGGTTGGACAGTTGTTTCTGTGCATGTAGGGAGCAACAACAGAGAGATGCTGCGTTGTAAAGGAGCCACAAGCAGACATATGCCAAGCCAGAGGACAGGAAATGCACTCCAGATGAAGATACTACAGCATGGTTTATTTTACCAGTGTGTGTGTGTGTGTGTGTGTTGTCAGGAATGTGTGCTGCAGGACCGACCATATGTCTCTCAAGTTGCATCACAGCATTTACATATCCGGCTGTTGACTATGGCAGTAGTTTAAAAAAACATTTTTGATTGATTGATTGCTTGTTTAGCTTATGTAAATGTGAATAATCATATTTACTAGAGCCTATGGTTCAAGTCGCTCCGCAAGATATTTTACTGCAATGTTCCAAATTTACAACTCGTATATATATATATATATATATATATATATATATATATATTTTTTTTTTTACATGTGAAGCAACCAGGACAGTAACTGATTGTACAGTTGATAATCTATAATGAGTCCGACTCCCCGCTGGTAACACAGTGCGACTGAATCGGATCCCGAGCGCGGAAGGTGATCTGAGGAATGAGTGAGCTCTTCCTGGGGTAACAGTATGGCTCCAGCCTGCCCCCCTCTTCTGCTGCACTGCCCAAATCTACCCCCTTTCCTGTCGCCTTATCTGAGCGTTCGGTGCAACGTAACCCGGGGAGCGGCCCCTCTGCTCCTCCGTCGCTAAACTTCTCCGATGTCACTGCGAAGATAGAATCAACCCGCTTTAGCCGGACTTGAGTTGGACTGACTGACAGAGCCGCCGCCCTCTCAACTCCCTGCCACCCACAGCTTCCCGGCTCCTGACCTTCGTGGTGCCGACCACAAAAGAAGAACGTACGACGAGCAACGCGGCTGATGCGTTTAGGATGCCGATGATTCGCGATGAACGAAGGGACAGCCGCGATGGATTTTCCAGCCTCGAGAAGTTGCAAAGACCAATGAGATTTGGTTGCTTGTTGGGCCAGAGGGACATGCTGATGTAGTTGAAGGGCTTTCTGATTAGCAAAGTGGAGATTTAATGTAGATCCTGTTGGGACAGAGACTTGTACTCGCTCCAACTGTCTGGGTTTAATTAGGCCAGCGTCAGCCAGCCAGCCAAACCGCTTCTTTTACATTGCGTTACAAATCCGATCGGTGGAGCCAAAAAGTCAGACAGAGACGTTGGACATAGAAGAAGACAATGTGGAAATGTTTGCACGCTCAATATTCGTATCACTCTTAGTGTGCTTATTGTAACAATGTATGCACTTCTTTATCTGCCAACTCACAATCGATCCTGACCTCCTTAATGGTAATTTTGGAATCATTTATCATTCACATTCCTCCTAGACACACAATAAACATGTTTCCACATGTGCTAATTCCATAGCTCAGCTGCCAAACAGCAGTCAACTATTGCTGAAAGGAGGCTTATCACGGCACTAGAGTATGATTTTTCTAGAAAATTAGTTTTGTTCTTCCAGAGAGTGTGTGGCCTGATCTACACTCATTTTGGCATACCGTTAATATCTGTTTTATATTTGCTGTAGCTATAAGTTTGTGCACACTTTGATCCTGGCTCTGGCGCAGAATTTCAATTTGTGAACATTCACAAAGACGAGAGAAAGAATCTGATTAAGGTGTGTGTGTGTGTGCGTGTGTCTCTGTATGTGTGTGTTGCAGGAATCTAAGCTCCAAGCTTTAAATGTGTGCGAGTGGACTTGCAGACCTTAGCTTGGAGATGTAATCTGATTTGCAGAAATAAACGTGTTGTTTCACATGACTGGTTTAAAGGACCACTGGCGCAAGGTTGTGCCATGTCCCTAACTGCTCTGTGTGTGTGTGTGTGTGTGTGTGTGTGTGTGTGTATGCATGCATGTGTGCTTGCATGTTTGTCACTATGAAACTACAAACGTTAATTTGCTTTTGCAAAGTGCACTGCAGCTATATGGGCATTTGTTGGTGCAGGCTCCTAAACAGTAGAACTAGAAAGGTGTTGAACTTTGCTATGCGGTTGAAGAAACCACAATGCTGCATTTATCCCGTTTCTTAAATGAGCTTTATTTTGGAAAAAGATTTCATCAACGTAAGGCCACTGCTTATTAACAGTCGATTACACATCTGGAAAAAGTACAGCTCTGCTTTAGACTCTGATGCAGGTTTTGTTTGTAACGTTCTGTATACACATCCCGAATAATCAGAGCTTTATTTTGAACTAATGGACCATCAGAAATTATATCAAATAATTGAAATCATCCTATTGCCTCAGCCCTCTTTAGTGGACTGCTGGGTTCAAATCCCCTGAAAGCTTTGCCTCCGAATCCTGTTTTTTTCACATTGTTTGTTGATGGGGTTTTCTCTGGGGGAGGGGGGCGGCGGCGCAGAGAGGGTTGGGGGGGGTTTGCTGGACGTGGTCCATCATGTGATTTCAATTCCAGAGTGGCCGGAGGTGACGACCACAGCAAAAGCAAGTGAGTGTGTGTTTGTGTCTCATCTGGCCTCATTAAAAAAAAGTCAGGTTGTTTTCCATCTGAGGGTCATCAGTTGTGGTTGTTATAAAAGCCTGCGCAGGGGGAAGAGTGGAGGCCCTACGAGGCCACACGCTTGACGGTGTGTCTGTGTAAATGTTTGTTGTACTGTACAACTAAGCATGCACAGAGCAGGCAAGTTGTCCCTGTGTGTGTGTGTGTGTGTATGTGTGTGCGTGTAAGGTTGATGTTTAGTTGTGTGTTTTCCCTCCCGTGTGTATGGAGAGCTCATAAGGACGATGCAGTGTGCAGGAAGCTCTGATCCCATCAGGCGTGTCAGCAGGGGCATTTTTTCATAAGGTGGTAATCTCACCACACAAAGGGGTGTCCAATATTGGAGAGCCCCATACCCCTGAGCTAATCAAGACCTGACCAACCTCTCCCTCGGCTCGCCAACCCTCGAAACATTACCTCATCTGGAGGCTTAGCCGAGCCACATGCTGCTTAGGCCTGCTGGTCTACATGATAACTCACTTAGAAGAAAGAAACAAAAAAAACGGAAATATAAGGAGGGATAGAAAAGAAATGGAACCAGAACAGCACACAACTACCTATGGTGCCGGGTGCCAGGGAAAGGTATTTTAAAAAGGGAGAGGAAAGAAATAATCATTTTACTTTGTCCTCCAGAAACTTTGGGAAGTGATTCACTGCTATTCAGTTTCTCTCCCCGCCGTCCTGTTATTGCTGTTTTCCCCTCAGCTCTTGGAGCCTTCGACCTCAAAGAGAGGTTCTTAGGTTCTGGCTTTGTGTCACTTGGAAACAGTGCTTTTGTTACCAAGGTAACAGGTCTGGGACAGTGAAACTTGGAAGTAGAGAGCACCTTTGTCCGTGACTGGATGGAGAGGGACCAGAGAGCACGGCTTCAAGTCTTAAAGGCATCCTGTGAGAAGAAACCAGTGATCAAGAGAAGTTTCTTGATACAATATCTACCTGTAACTTGTTAGCCAGTGAAAAGAAGAACACGGCTTTGCTTCTCCTTACCTGCCAGTTTCTGCAGAGCTCTACTGCAACCTTGGATCACGGGTTGCGGTGTTGGCAGTGTGCTAGCAGTAGGTCCTCCACAGTGTGTATACTGTGTGCGACCCGTCATCACTGCTTACACATACATTCTCCCCGTTTTTTCATCCGGCCCATCATCTCGTGATCTCTTCGAATTGATTTAGCAACTTAACGGTTGGAGACGACTGCACTGTAACCCCATCTGACCTGTGAAAACAGATGAAGGAACTTTCACAATGCAACGTAGAAAGATAAATACTCGCTGATTGATGCAAGTTTGGACAGAGCCATTACATCTGGTTTCTCTTTTTTTGTCAACTGTGTTTACTCTTGAATGAGCGACTTTCTAAATCATTTTATTTCCCCATCTTTAATCTTTTTCAGATGATCTCAGGTGAGCGCAGAAAACAGCCTGACTAATGGAAACATGATCTCAAGAGATTCCTTCAGGTAAGGATGAGTGATTTTGGTTTGATCTTCGCTCAAGTGCGACATGTGATCACACACACACACACACACACACACAGCGCTGCCTTATTATAAACTGTAAGTTGCTATTAACAACCGAGTATGGAACAGCCACCGATCAAAAAGATAGCAGTGGTTCACAAATATGTGGGACGTGCTGATGGTGGTGGCACTGGCGTTTTCTTTCTTTTTGGGGGGATTGTGTAACTCAAGTCGTGACAGCGCGGTAAAGAATGCAGTGGCATAGAGATATCACTTCAAACACCGCGTCTCTCAGGAGCCTCAGATCCCTTCGGTGGACATGAATGAAAATATGCTTTGATGGCCCCACCGCAGAGTCGGTGCCCTTCAAAGAAACCTGTTGATGGGCCGGCGCGGGGCAGCCAGCAGGCTGAATGCATGGTACTGTATACGTGTGCCTCTCGGGGGCAGCCGTGGGTGTTCCCGATGGAGGTCAAACTTGCTCGACCCTAACATGAGTAGGTTTTTTTTTTACAGATTTTTGGCTTGCATTGTGTCTTTTTTTTATTCAGGGTCCCTCTGTAATTGAGGGGTAACTGTGTGCGGATGTGTGAGTGAGTGGCAGGGGGCCAGCAGACAGGTACAGCGAATGTGCTGATGAGAGAGGGCGATATGGGGCTGGTCTCAGACACAGGCCCGCGGCACAGACCGGCGCACACGGGCAGGCTGAGACTCATAGGCAGGTTAGGACCCGGTTGTGTGTGCTGATGCTGCTCCGCTGGCTCTGCTCCAAGGTGAGGCATAGGAGAGAAACGTGGGAAGGGAAATAAAACTGAATACAGGGTAAAAGGGAACGATAGAGAAAATCCGGTGAAAGGATGATTGTTGAGTTGTGGAGCTGAGAGAGAGAGAGAGAGAGAGAGAGAGAGAGCACGCAACCCGAAAGAGGAGGATGTATAATAACAGAGAGTGACAACAAGCAATAAAGAGTGGTTGTGGCGGAGGTTGGAGAGGGAGAGATGATGATGATGATGATGTGTGAGGGCCGGGCGATGAAGAGGGAACTGAAAGGAGGAGCGAGATGAAGAAAAAGCCATGCGAGTTAAGCCCCATCCTGTACACCGGTGGGACGTGACTCCTCGCAGGTAAACCACCTTCGGAGGTGCAGACAGGCGGAAAAAGAGGACGGGAAAAAAACTTTGATGGATGTCTACTTATCATCTGACACGTTGCTGCTTCACAGGGCGGAGTGGGACGGGCCGGTCCCGCCGCTTTGGCTGAGTGGATGGTGTGAGGGGGGCAGAAAACGTAATGTCCTTGTGTGGGTGGTTGTATGCACGAGCCCGGGTGAAGCAGGCTACAGGTTGTCAAGAGGCCACCTACCTGCATTACCTCACCTCTGGTTGTTCTGACGTCAATGGGGGGGGGAAGCAGATGTTTTACGCTGATCAGCAGCCCTCTCATTAGACAACAACATACTCGTTCCGCTGTTTTTTTTTTCCAAAACAAATACGAACACGTATTCTAGATAAAAGTGCCGTTCTGTAACATTTCTTTCAAATCAGTGCTTTCTTTTGGACCTAAAGCAATATTTTTGACATCTAATCTCAAATTCTGGTACGTCGAGCTCCAACTTGAGGATGCTCTCTGATTTGTATCGTCTTTTGCCACAACTCGTGATGTGATCATTTCCGATGTGGCTCTTCATCTCCCTTATACCAGTTTGAACAGTGAAGCCCTTTTTTGTGGCAAAAGTTTGTGAACGGAGCCAAATCGGCTTAAGACATCAGTGGAGAAGAACTTTGGGTTGATCAGTTCTGAGTGTTTCATAAATCTCTGGTTGTTTTAACTTTGCTGAGCAGTTTGAAAAGGAATATTGCCAGAAAACCAAACATGTGTCAATGTTAAAGTCTCAAGTTTTTTTATTTTGGCCTCATTGAATCATTAGTGTCTGTCTTTTGCTTCTAGGATCATACTTAATCCTGGTTTGGACTGTGGACATAGCATCGCCTGCAGCAGATGTTTGCTCCTGGCATGGCTGCAAACTGCATGAGCTCCATCACCGACAATCCAGTTCTCGGGATGCATCGCCAGCAGCTTGGACACGGAGAAGCTGTGACACAAACTCAGCAGGACAGTGGAGTGTATTCTGCTGCTCGGATATTATGGAACAGACCGGTCAACCTCGTCTGGAGAGGCACTCGATAGGAAAATCAGCTCTATGAGGCTACGATTACCGCGGTTACCACAATGGATCTACACATTGTTTGACTTTTTCTAAATTGAACCTGGATTAATATTTCCCTGTATATACATCTGCTTTTGATATTCAGTGTTTATTCCCGCTGTTGCTCATTCCCTGCACTTATATACTGTGTTATTCTGGATACAGTATCAACAAATGCTGGAACAGTAAACGGAAAATAATCAGCTGTTATTTCCTCTTTAGGTCTATTATTTTTACAGGAGGAAGGCAGCACTTACACCAATCTCGTAAGGAGCAAACTAAATGTTTTCCTGTTGAATTAATTAACACACATAGGAATTGTCACAGGGATTACTCAATTAATAAACATTCAACATCTTCCAATTAAGAAAAGATAATCCTTTATTAGTCCAGCAGCAGGGAAATTACAACAATTGCCTTCACAATGAAGCCATTGAACCAAAGGTGCTTATGAATACAACTATTGACAACTCTTTGGGAGTCTTGTTCATTCTGGTTGAGGAATCTTTTCCAACTCTTTGATCTGATAAAGACGTATTGCTTCATCGGACTTGTCTGTGTAACCCTCGAACAGAAATAAAAAAGAAAAGGTGTAATCAAGCTGCTGTCCGTTTATTATGTCATTGCAGCTGCAGAGAGATTAATAGCCAAAAACTGCTTTCACTGTGTTCGTTGTGTGTGTGTGTGTGTGTGTTGTTGTTAACCGTACTGGTTTCAATCACCAGTTGGCCCAGTGTCTGATGCAGGAGCTCTATCGGGGGTTGCTTCGCTCTTCTCTTTTTTTTTTCTCTCCTGCTCAAGCAAAAAGCGCGTGATTTAAAGGCTAAATCAATTTAAAATGATTACTGTACACACTTTACCGGTGTAAATCATGGAATTAGGCTATTCATCCTGGTTTAACAATTTACTGCCCAAAAAATTCATTTCATTGCAAGAGATGACATTATGTAAAATGCGTCTGCTTGAGTTTAGTTCCTGTAAACTTGCACAGAGAAGTGTTTCATGGCACAGTTCATGTCAACACAAATGAAACTGTAAGTAGTTTTAGAGTCTTGCTTGAAAATCCCTGCAGCTCCTCGTCTTCCCCAGAAACACATTCCGTCGCTTATTACAAATGCATTTGTCTTTGGCTTATTTTAAGTGAGCTCAACAATTCAGCATTCAACTGTCTTTCAGTGTCAAATTCAGACGTGATTCAATAAGGTTGGGGCTGGAAGGGGGGAGTGGCGGGGGCGGAGGTGTCGTTGCGGGAGCGCGGCAAGGCAGAGTTGCTACGGGGGTAATTATTCCTGAAGGGGTTGCTTATTGTCGTCTTTCTCTCTGCGATAAAACAAAGCAGGCCGGGTTAGACTCCATCGCAGTTTGCTCAGGCTTTTATGCCGCCGCTGACAAGTTGTTCAAAGTATCATAGGGATCATATTAAGAATCAAATTTGGGGGGGGGGGGGGGGGACGAGGTCATCGCCATCTGTAGAAGAAACGGGGTGTGAAAGCCCCGCGCTGATGTTTTTGGAAGTTGAGCTTCCATGACATCTTTATGCCCTGCTTATGGTCAACAACATTAGCCATATCCACAATAGACTTCCTTACTGCCCTGCTTCCCCCTTCCTTTATTTTCCCTCACCCGCTTTTTCTCACACACATACACAGCTCGGGGGGGAAAAATGACCTCTCTGCCGCTCTCAATTCACTGCACTTCTATAGCCCTGAATGGCCCAGCTCAACAAAAGGGGACATATTTTTTCCGGGGCTGGTTGGCCCCCCCCCATCCCCCGGGGGGAATTAAGGCCCCCCCCCCCCCCCCCACCTCACACACACATGATCACAACTAACCCTCCCCGCCATGTTCTTGGATGCTGGGTTCCCAAGACAACAGAGGCTTTGGGGCAGGACTTGGCACGGCAATCGCGGGCTTGGATCTCCACACGGAGCTCAGCCGATGTTACTCTTGTGTTTGCGGTAAACAGCCTTGGAAAATGATCTAGGAAGCGGAGTGATGCAGAACACTGTCTTTGATATAAAAGTTGACCTCTCTCAAAGGGAGCATTGGTGTAAAGCAGAAAGAAATTCTTAAAGAAACCTGTTAAAAGTATTCCAGTGAGAAGTGTGACGCCACAAACCTTTAATGTCAAGCACAAGCTTTGTGTCAGCCGCCGCGCTGTCACTTGAAGCTGCGCCAAGTTTTGGTGCAAGTTTCATTGTGTCTCACTTTCACTCTCATGAAGTTCAAGGAGGCAGTGCGTGTGTTTGTGGGATGGAAGGGGGGGTGGGCGAAAAAGTGTTTGGGTGGGGGGTATTTTGACTGGGACATGGGCTCATGCGCAGCCCACACGTCACAATTACTTTTCTTTGATTAATGTAGGCAGAGTATTCCTGCCTGCTCAGTCTTCCATAACTCGAGGTGAATTTGTTCTTCTTTTTCATCTTCATACCGTACAGTCGAGTTTGATTTCAACTTTCCCCGTTTCACAATTAGAAAGATGCATGACATGCTTTCTCAGATACAGATCTCTCTTTCCTGCTCTTTGTATGTATGCACAATGTAAAAAAGTGCAGTAATTGGGGTGTTTCTCCATTCGTCGGTCTATGACATCAACTAACAAATCCTGGATTCTCTCACAGTATCCGAGCTGCTATTGGCTTCCTCAGCTCAGTAGAACCTGTGACCCTGACTAATAAATGCCACTTTTCATGCTGGAATGAATCCAGTGGTATCACACACATTCAAATGGTCGTTTACCCTTTAGAAATGTCATTAATGAGGATAATTTGAAGTGAGGTTGAGATGGAGCCTGGAGCCAACGCTTGTTGGTTCCAAACACCCCTGCAGAATAGTCGCCTTTAAACACACTCCAAACCACTTCCTCAAATTGGAGCTGCATCCGAAAGAATGACACAATTACTACTTGGTTTAGGAAAAATGTCCAAATTTCATTGCATTAAAAATTGACTTGTGACGCAAGGAAGCGCTGGGACGTTCTGTTTTTTTTATGAAAAAAAAAAGAATTATATAATAATAATTTTGTCATCAGATTGTTTTGCTCTTCCCGTACAGTTTTCTGTCTCTATCTAGGTCATCGTGCCAAGTTTCTTACCCACTTTAAAGTGCACCTCTTCACAGATTTCATGCCTTTTCTTTTTGCCGTTCTTTGTGGTGTGATGTGATTAACTGTGGTGTGCCGGGTTGGCCCCTCCTTGGACTTTATTGGAAGAAAGCATAACTTTTGTGGGTTTTTTTGAGGTTGGATGAGCGCTGACTGGATATCGGTTACCGCTGGCATGCTGAGGGTGCGTGGGCTCCCAATGACGTATCCACTCAGCTCTGCTTGCACAGGAGAAATGGTGGGAATCCACTACTTTTCTCTGAATTTTCCACAATTGGGCTTTATGAAGGTAACCTATTTTCCAAAAGCTTTTTACTTTTTACCGTGTGACGGGATTTACCTTGAGTTTTTAACGACCATAATTTAAGTAAGAACCTTATCAGTACTGCAATAGCAAATTGATAGTGACATTAAGGGGATGTACTTCCCCAAAATAATAAAACACGCAGCAGTATTTCTGGTTTATTCCCGTTGACTGCCTTGATTGGCAAGGTGACATATAGCGTTGCATGGGAAACCATCGCTCAGTCTGGGCAAGCACCCTCACTCACCCTCTCCATCCCGCGCCTCTCTCCCTCTCCCTTAATCCCCATTGAGAAGGGGAAGGGGAGACTCGGGAAGCAGGAGAGGATGAAGAGGAGGAGGGGAGAAGGAGAACAGGCCAAAGGCTCCGCTGACATCCATGGGAATCTGCAGATCCATTCACTCGTAATTATTAGCATCAATGCAAAGAGGCAGCGCAAGGCGAGGGGCGGGGGCAAGGGGGTGTGGGAGAGTTTTGGGGGTGGGGTCCTGCTGGATAGTGGGGTACCAGGGGAAAGGGGGGGTGGGGGGGGAGTTGTCAGTCCAAGATGGAAATCAATCACCGGAGGATTCAAGAGGTTGTAATGAGAACATGAAGAGGTTCTTACATTTACGTCAAAGATGATGTGAGCAGCATTCGTAAAGGCAGCCTTTCCGTTTCCTGGTATCTAGAGAAGTGATCACCAGAGAAGAAATATTTATAGACAGAGGAACTATACCATACATCATCAAATGTGAAGCCAGTGGTCATGATTTTATCTCCTGAAGAAGTCATTCTATTCCATTTTCGGTTTAGGTTAGGCATTGAGTTATTTTTTAGGAACTGCAGACATGCTGATGAGCAGCAAGTCCTATACTTTAGAATTACAACTTCATTTAGAACATTCATTTAGAAGTATTTGCCTCCTAATCACACATCAATCAAGCGAGTGCATCGTCATTTCTTGCACAGATATGGGAGAAAATAATTCATATGCATGTGTGCTTCCTGTCTATCCGCATGAAACTATGTGGCTTGGTCGACATTCTCCAAGTCCAGGATGCCAGCCCTCTGTCCCCTCTACATCGTACATCACGCTGACAGGCCATTTCACTCCTGGATTCAGAATTCCAGCTGAGAGACCACCTCAAACACTTTGGTTTATCCCCGGTTGGTGAGAACGTCACTCCAAGCCGGCTGAACACCAAGTTTGTACTTTTGACGACTGGCCGCTGAGCCGAGTCTGTCTGACGGGGGAAATAAGTTATGAGAAATGATTTATTCTTTTCTCCCCTTTTCATTTGGAAAGCAGAAAAATTTCCAGCTACGGGTGATTCAGCAGCGCAGTTTTAGTGGCCTGACCTTCTTTAGCAAAGAGGAAGGCTCAGTTTAAACATTTTCGGAGGTGCGTTCCCAATGTTGCTCATTTCTTCTCGATGTGAAAAGGCAGGTCGTGTCAAAGGTCAGGTCAGCACTTGTCTTCCTCTTTAGAAGGTCTGGTTGTACTCTGGAGTTAACTTTGGAAACAGTCAGATAGAGATGTCTCATTATGCCTCTGGTGAATTTAGACAGAGGGTGTCAAGCTGTCGGTTGCAGGAATGAATTATGTCTTCATGTGAAGCTGTCAGAAAGAAGGAAAGAAAGAAATGTTACAATCATCATTATTATTTGTACAAATGTACCTCATTGCTAGATATTTTTTAAATGTTTAAAATTATATTTTAAGCACTACCTCTAAGCTGAAGAAGATAAAACTATCATTTTAAATATGTTTTAATTGTAATTGCCTATTTCAATGCGAGATGTGATTTCACTGTTATATACCGTTATTTTTTTCCGTCTATACCTATCTAGAAGTGTTCTGCCTCCTAAACTGCAGCAATCCTCTGGTCGAGGAAAGCAGTGACCCCTTGACCCACACTCTCAAAGTTCCTTTTTGCATGCACCACTTGAATTTCGTTTGTCAATGTGCAGAGCTGGCGGAGGGGTGCGGAACAAGAAGAACTCACATGGCCATCTATCACAATGTAGCACAAACAAAGATGCTGGTATGTCAATCATGCAGTAGTGGCATTGTGTGCAACGTGGTAATTTCTTTCATGTCTCACTGAACAAAGTCTGAACAGAGGAAGTAAAACTCAATGTAGTTATTGCACATATACACACACACAAACATGTATCTCACATTGCCAATCCTACTTCAAGACCTTTCAT